TCCCCACCAGACAGTGTCATTTGACAGGGAGAAGCCTGTGGTAAGTGTGGCCTTGGCACAAATATAATCAATCTCAGAATGCAGCAGCTAGAGTCTTTAGTCAATTATTCTTCCTATAGTTGGAGGTGTTTTAGGCACATTCTTCTGGCCTTCACACCAAGCAATGTAATCAGTCAGAGGCAATAGGGCATCTGGTGTGGAAGAATAGCAGAGATTAACGCTATCCCTAAAGACCTAAAGGATGCTGGGGTGATGGCATTAATTCAATTCACCATCCAACCTACACAAAACTTAGACTAATCCTATGGGATGATAGTGGACTACTACAAATTCAAACAAGTGTATCCCAGTTGGACCTGCTGTGCTAGGTATGGTATCTTTTCTAGAGCAAATTAACATGGTCTCAAGTATATGGTTTGCAGTCATCAATCTGATGAATGTGTTTTATTTTATTCTTATCAAAATGGAACATTAGAAGCAGTTATAATTCACTTGGAATGGTCAAGAGCATAAATTTATATGAATTCTTTCACCCTCTCTAATTAAGTAGTCTAAAGGGATGTGAGGCCTCTGTATATCCTAGATAATAGCACATTGATCTACTTTGTTGATGCCATCATTAATTGGACTGTATAAACAAGAGACAGCATGTATATTGGAAGCCTTGGAATATATATGAGCTCAAGAGTATGGGAGATAAACCCTAAAACAAACCAGGTACTTGCCTCATCCCTGGAATTTTGGGGGATCCAGGAGTCTACAATATGCTATATACCCTCTCCAAATTAAAGGACAAATTATTGGCTCCTATAATTCCCACCATTAAGAATAAAACTTAAGTTCAGATAGGCCTCTTCAGGGTCTAGAAGCAGTATATTCCACACTTGGAAATACTGCTCCAATCAACATCCTGCATTGCGCAAAGGGCAGTGAGCTTTGAAGGGGGCCCAGAGCAAGAAAGCATTCTGTCACATGTCTAGGCTGCAGTTTAAGGGACCCTGCTGCTTGGGCCATGTAACTTAGTGGACTCTATGGTATTAGTTATTGGTAATGGGAAAAGACAGTGTGGAATTTATGGAGAATTCCAAAAGGATAATGAAAACACAGACCCCCTAGGTTTCTGGAAGGTAACAATGGAATCTGAAGCACAGAAGTATACAGTATAAACTATTTTAAAAGAGCTCTTGATGAGCTAATTTTTCCTGGTAGGGAAAAAGTACCTCATCATGAGATTTCAAGTGGTCACTGGGTGTTCAGTTGTGATAATCCATTAATCTCTATAACCATAGTTTGTGCATTTTCTGTATACATATTACACTTTTAAAAAATTAAAAATACAAGCCATAAACTAAGATAACTATGCATGATCATTTTTTTAACAAAGTAATTACCTCCAGAAAAACTCCTATGCCTCAGTAAGAAAACTACAAATCACTGAACAGAAAATGGGGCAAAAGACAATCACAGGCATTTCACAGGTGATGAAACAAATACTAATAAATATGAAAATATCCAAACCTTATTAATAATAAAAAATTGGAATTAAAACTATAATGAGATATAATTTCATATATACCAAATTAGCAAAATTTTAAAATACAAGTCACACAACATCAAGTGCGGTCAAATATGTAGAGGAAGGGGTAGTCTCTTACGTTGTTTATGTGAGTTTGGTACAATTAGTTTTGAAAATAACTGGGCATTACCTAACATAGCTAAAAATTTTGATATTCTATGCCACAGGGATCCTTCACCTGGATATTTTCCCTAGAGAAAATCTTGCACATTTGTAACTTGAGAAAATTCAAGAATACTCATTAAATATTATTTTAATAAAAAATGGAATAAATTCACATTTTCACCAACATAAAAATGGATAATATAGTTTAATATATTTATATAATGAAATACTCAGCAGTGAAAATAACTGAAGTAAAGCTACATGCATTAACATTAATGTCTTTAATATGAAATCTTGAGCAAAAAAAAAATCTAGTCACAGGAGAATAAACACACTATAACTTCATTTATATAAATTTCACAAATAGGCAAAACTCGAAGTATTGTTTAGAATCCCATATAAAATTAAAAATAAAAAGCTGAAAAGATTGACACAATTTTCTGGATAGTGTTTACATATAGGTTGATGGAGTGAGATGGAATCTGCAAGCAGAACTTTAAGAGTGTCTTAGTTTGGGTTCCGGAAAAGCAGAGCCTAGAAAAAGTATGCTTTTTCAAGTAATTTATTGGAGAGTTCTTTCACGGAAAAGGTAGTGAGGGAAGCAGGATAGGAGAAATAAAAAAACACTGAAAAAGAATTCTGGTCTCAACTGAAGACTAGCTTTAGTATGATCACAAGGAAGCTTTGAAGCAAAAATTGTACTGCGTGTAGTTGGCTCCACCTTGAAGCAAATGGGCAGGCTTTTTGTTCTTTCATGTCTGTCAGTCATTGACCAAAGTAAGCTTCTTAGGGAGGTAAGTATGGTCTAGCTTCATGGGCTAGGAAGTTTTCATTTGGATCAAGCAGTAAAGGGGGCAAGTATGAGATGTTATCAATCAATGCTCACAGAGGATAGGGGAGGAGTGTATCACCCAATAAAGAGAATCTCCATGAGTGTCAATGGCAACCACTAAATTCACTTTTTGTACCACTCAGAACCATTTATTTCTCAAAATAACTTTACTCCATTCAGCTACATCTCTCCTTGGGCCTCCCTATTCCCTGAAACAAAACAATATTGAAATTATGCCAATTAATAACCCTACAATGACCTCTAAGTGTTCAAGTGAAAGGAAGAGTCGCATGTCTGTCGCTTTAAATCAAAAGCTAGAAATGATTAAGTTTAGTGAGAAAGGTATGTTGAAAGCTGAGATAGGCTGAAATCTAGGCCTCTTGCACCAGTTAGCCAAGTTTTGAATGCAAAGGTAAAGTTCTTGAAGGAAATTAAGAGTACTACTCCAGTGAACACACAAATGATAAGAAAGTGAAATAGACTTATTGCTGATATGAAGAAAGTTTCAGTGGTCTAGACAGAAGATCAAACCAGCCACAAGATTCCCCTAAGCCAAAGCTGAATCTAGAGCAAGGCTCTCACTCTCTTGATTCAGTGAAGGCTGAGGGAGGTGAGAAAGCTGCAGAAGAAATGTTTGGAGCTAGCAGAGGTTGGTTCATGAGGTTTAAGGAAAGAAGCCATCTCCGTAATATAAAAGTGCAAGGAGAAGCAGCAAGTGCTGATGTAGAAGCTGCAGCAAGTTATCCAGAAGATCTAGATAAGATAATTATTGAAGGTGACTACACTAAACAAAAAAATTTCAATGTAGATGAAACAGCCTTCTATTGGAAGAAGATGCTATCTAGGACTTTCATAGCTACAGAGGAGAAGTCTATGATTGTCTTCAAAGCTTCAAAGGAGAGTCTGACTCTCTTGTTAGGGGTTAATGCAGTTGGTGACTTTAAGTTGAAGCCAATGCTCATTTACTATTCCAAAAATCCTAGGGCCCTTAAGACTTATGCTAAATCAACTCTGCCTGTGCTCTATAAATGGAGCAACAAAGCCTGGATGACAACACATCTGTTTACAATATGGTTACTGAATATTTTCAGCCCACTGTTGAAACCTACTGCTCAGAACAAAAGATTGCTTTCAAAATATTACTGCTCATTGACAATGCACCTGGTCACCCAAGAGCTCTGATGGAGATGTACAATGAGTTTAGTGTTGTTTTTATGCCTGCTAACACGACATCCATTCTGTAACCTGTGGATCAAGGAATCATTTTGACTTCCAAGTCTTATTATTTGTTAAATACATTTCATAAGGCTAGATCTGCCATAGATAGCGAATTCTCTGATGGATCTGGGCAAAGTCCAGACAGAAAACCTTCTGGAAAGGATTCATTATTCTAGATGCCATTAAAAACATTAGTGGGGGCCGGCCCAATGGCCTAGTGGTTAAGTGCGTGCACTCCCCAGCAGCAGCCCGGGGTTCTGATCCCCGGCATGCACCAACGCACTGCTTGTCAAGCCATGCTGTGGCAGCGTCCCATATATAAAAAAGTGGAGGAAGATGGGCATGGATGTTAGCCCAGGGCCAGTCTTCCTCAGCAAAAAGAGGAGGATTGGCAGTTGTTATCTCAGGGCTGATCTTCCTCACAAAATAAAGAACATTAGTGATTCATGGGAAGCCGTCAAAATATCAACGTTAATAGGAGCTTGAAAGAAGTTGATTCCAACCCTCATGGATGACTTTGAGGGGTTCAAGACGTCAGTGGAGGAAGTAACAGCAGATGTAGTGGAAATAGCAAGAGAACTAGAATTAGAAGTGGAGCCTGAAGATGTAACTGAATTGCTACAACCTCATGATCAAACTTTAATGGATGAGCAGTTGCTTCTTATGGATGAGCAAAGAAAGTGGTTTCTTGAGGTGGAATCTACTCCTGTTGAAGACGCTGTGAAGATTGCTGAAATGACAACAAAGGATTTAGAATATTACCTAAACTTAGTTGATAAAGCAGCAGCAGGGTTTGAGAGGATTGACTCCAAATTTTGAAAAAAAAATTCTACTCTGGGTAAAATGCTATCGAACACATTGCATGCTACAGAGAAGTCGGTCATGAAAGGAAGAGTCAATTGATGGAGCAAACTTCAGTTTTGTGTTGTTTTAAGAAATTGCCACAGCCACCCCAACACTCAGCAACCACCACGCTGATCAGTTAGCAGCCATCAACATTGAGGCAAGACCTTCCACCAGCAAAAAGATTATGACTCTCTGAAGGCTCAGATGATGGTTAGCACTTTTCAGCAATAAAGTATATTTAAATTAAAGTATGTACATTGTTTTTTTAGCCATAATACTATTTCATACTTAATAGACTACAGTATAGTGTAAACATTAATTTTATATGCACTGGTAAGACAAAGAAATCATGCAGCTCACTTTATTGTGATATTTGCTTTATCACGGTGGTCTAGAACCAAACCCGCAGTATCTCCGAGGTATGCCTGCCTGTACTCTACTTTCATCTTTCTATATTGCTGGAATTTTTAACGAATCTATATTTATATTATAAAATCTGTAAATGAAATACCATTAATAGTTAAAAGAATAGTTTATTAGAAAATATAGACACATTGCTTGAAAAGTAATTCAAAAATAAAGAAATTCAAATACCAATAGACATGAAAACTATTAAATTTTGCTACACAAAGAGATAGAAATTAAAACAATTATGTGATATGCTTTCCCTATCAGGTTTATAAAAATGACAAATAGTTGATATTTAATTGTGAAGTTGCAAGGAAATGGATACAAACATTAATTTTGATAACGGCAAATTATTATTTTCCTTGGAAGCAATTTTTCTCTATGCAGCAGAGCTTTAAAAATGTGCATAGACATCAACAATTTCAATTCTATGAAAGTCCCTAAGAAAATAATGATACAGGTTCAGAAATGATGTGCATAAGGACTTTCTTTCTTAAAATTTCATAATATAAAATGACTACATATAAAAGACTAAATATCCATCATTATATAATTAGGTGATAACTTAGAGTCACTAAAATTTTATTTTAGAGCTATATGTACAGATACAGAACGTATCTGAACTATGTATTGGACAAAGGGCCCTGCAATGCCAGATCTATTTTTGAAAAGTAGAACAAAACAACGTATTTATTTATGTAGATGAATGTATGTATGAATATGCAAGAAGATCTCCATAGTGACTAGCACTGTGTTGTGAAATGAATGATGATTTTATGATCTTTTATATTTTCCCGAATTTTTCTTTTTTACAAAGAGCATATATTACTTCTAGTAACAGATAAAATCAATATGATTTTTATTTTGAAAGAAAGAGAACACTTTATCTTTAATTCTCACATTTACCTAATGATAGTATACTTCATAAATTAATGGATTTGTTCTTCGATTTTATGAAACTTCTTTCTTACTTCTACAAACAGAAATGGAAATAATCAAGTGCAAAATGTCACGAACCTCTCATTTGTGTGACTGCTGTTTTAGGTTTTAATAGCTAAATTGTGCATAATAATTGCCCTTTTGATTCAGTTAGCAATTGCAGGTTTCTTTTCCCAAAATTCATGATGATTACTTTGTGCTCAAATTCATTCTGATTTATAGCCACAAATATTGAAGGTGTATATTTATGCCATATATATCAAAGACATTATAACTTAATATGGAAATAACGTAAACGTTTTTTTTTTAATTTTTTATAAAAATGAAAAATCCATGTTTTGAATTGATTTAAGCTGCTGATACTTTATTATTCTTTGAATCCTGATAGCTGATTTAAAAAGAAACATTATGTTTTCATCTCAGTTGCCAACTTAATTTTAGGCAACAAACAACTATATTGTACTTACCATGTGCTATTGAAGTTCTTAATGTTTTGCAAATATTAAATCATTTAATTTTATAAATTACAACCTTTCTAGGTAGGTACTATTATTATCCTCATTTTACTGAGGCAGAGTAACTAAGTTACTTTACCAACATTACACAGCTAGTAATGGGTGGAGACAGGATTCAAAAATAGACATTAAGAGCCTTGTTCTTGATTTCAATTATTTTGGATGTATACCCAAAAGTGGGATTTCTGGGTCATCTGGTAGTTCCATTTTTAATTTTTGTGGAACCTGCAAACTATTTTCCATAGCAGCTGCACCATTTTACAGTCCCACCAATAGTGTACAAAGGTCCCAATTTCTTCACAATCTTGCCAACATTTATCTTTTTTTTTTGTGAGGAAGATCAGCCCTGAGCTAACATCCATGCCAATCCTCCTCTTTTTGCTGAGATAGACTGGCCCTGGGCTAACATCTGTGCCCATCTTCCTCCACTTTATGTGGGATGCCGCCACAGCATGGCCTAACAAGCGCTGCGTCAGTGCGCACTCGGGATCCGAACCCAGGCCGCCAGCAGTGGAGTGTGCGTACTTAACCACCACACCACGGGGCCGGCCTCAACATTTATCTTCTATTTTTTTGATAATAGCCATTCTAACAGATTTGAGAAGATATCTCATTGTGGTTTTGCTTCGCATTTCCCTGATGATTAGCCATGTTTAGCATCTTCTCATATACCTATTGGCCATTTGTATGTCTTCTTTGGAGAAATGTCTGTTGAAGTCCTTTCCTTATTTTTTAATTGGATTATTTGGCATTATGCTATTGAGTTGTAGGAGTTCCTTGTATATTTTGGAATTTAACCTCTTGTCATATATAGGGCTTGCAAATATTTTCTCTCATTCTCTAGGTTGCCTTTTCACTCTATTGATTGTTTCCTTTGTATTATAGATTTACATTTTATGTAGTCCCACTTGCTTTTATTGCCTGTGCTTTTGGTGTCATATTCAAGTAATCAATCATTGATGAGACCAATGTTAAGAAGCTTTTCTTTTATATTTTCTTTTAGGAGTTTTATGATTTCAGATCTTACATTCAGATTTAATCCATTTTCAGTTTGTTTCCACATGTGGTGAAAGATAAGGGTACAATTTCATATATTTACATGTGGATATCCACTTTCCCCAACACCATTTATGGAAGAGACTATTCTTTCCCCCATTGTGTATTCTTGGCACCCTTGTCAAAGATCAATTGACTGCATATGCTTGAGTTTATTTCTGGGCTCTCTATTCTGTTCCATGGGTCTGTATGTCTGCTTTTATGCCAGTACCATATTGTTTTGATTACTATAGCTGTGAATTATAACAAAGTCAAGAATTGTGATGTCTACAGCTTTGTTTTTCTTGCCCAATATTGCTTTGGCTATTTGGAGTTTTTTTGTGGTTCTATACGAATTTTTGGATTGTTATTTCTATTTCTATAAAAAAATGAGTTTTGAATTTTGATATGGATTGCATTGAATCTGTATATTTCTTTGGGTAGTATGGACATATTAACAACATGAATTGTTCCAAATGAAGAGATATCTGCACTCCTATGTTCATTGCAGCATTATTCACGATAGCCAACATATGCAAACAATCCAAATGTCTTTCAAAAAATGAATGGATAAAGAAAATGTGGCATATACACAAAATGGAATATTATTCAGCATTCATAAAGAAGGAAATCCTACCATTTGAAAAAACATGGATGGACCTAGAAGACATTATTCAAAGTAAAATAAATCAGTAACCGAAGGACAAATACTACATGATTACTCTTATATAATAAGGGATCTAAAGTAGTCAAATATACAGAAATAGACAATAGAAATGTGGTTACCAGGGAAGGGATGAAGAATATGGGGCTTTGTTTTTCAATGGATACAAAGTTATGCATACAAAAGAAGTAAGTTCCAGAGTACTGTTGTACAACTTAATGCATATAGATAACAAAGAATTGTGTACTTAAACTTTTTTAAGGACTGACATCAGCATCATGGTGGAATGAGATCTTCCCTTAGTCTCTCCCCCCTAAGATACAATGAAAAGGACATTCATAAAATAACAGGGGACATTCCACAACACAATAGATGTCTGAGAGATCCACCCAGCCATATGCCTAAAGATGGGAGTGCCAGACCTCCCCAGGAGGCAGTGGAAGGAGGTAAGTGGATCATCTCTCCCTCCTAAGTGGCAGTGATCTAGGGCATGGGACATTGTGCAGTGGTCAGTGTGTGACTCTGAGGAGAAAGGGGAAAAGGCAGCCCTCTACTGGAATACTCTATCTCAGAGTCACCTCCCAGCCCATGGGAATGCTCCACACTGATGAGGCTAAGCAACTGCGGGGGTGTCCCCACTAAGCTGAGCAGCACAGGCAGGCAGACACTGAGGACAGAGTGGGAGCATGCCAGATTGCATGTGTAAAAGAAAGTGGCCTGCCCCCCCAACTGGGCACACCAGCTTGGCAGGTTGGCCAGAGAAGTGTATCCCTGCCAGAGTGCCTGCAACTACGTGTGTAAAGTAGCAGTGGCCAGTGGGCAAATGCAGATGGGCCCTGTTGGCACAGCTTCCAAAGGAGAGGAACATCTGCCAAGGATCACAGTGGGCTCAAAAAACACAGCTCCTGCACCCACCCAGTGGTGGCAGGTGGAATCTGTGACCAGACATTACCAATGTGTTACAGCAAAAGTCCAACCCATCAAATAACGTGAAGAAGTATATTAACACTCCAGACCGGAAGGAAAATCGCAAATACCCAGAAATATATTTTGAAGTCACAGAAATTTACAATCTAAATGACAGACAATTCAACATAGTTATCATAGAGATACACAATGAGTTACAAGAAAACTCAGAAAGACAGTTCAATCTTCTTAGGAATGAAGTTAAGGAACTAAGGGAATTCTTCACAAAAGAAATTGAAACTATAAAGAAAAAACAATTGGAAATGTTGGATATGAAAAACACAATGAATGATAAAAAGAAAAACGGAATCCTTAAAAAACCAAAGTGATATTATAGAGGACAGAATTGGTAATTTAGAGAACAGAAATATAGAAATGCTTCAGATGGAGGAGCACAAAGAAGAAAGACTAAAAAGAAATGAAGAAATTATCTGAGAAATATTCAACTCAATTGAGAAATGTGACATAAGGATTATAGGTATTCCAGAGGAAGAAAGGAGCAGAGAGCTTGTTCAAAGAAATAATAGCTGAGAACTTCCCAAATCTGGGGAAGGAGCTGGAATTACATGTAAAAGAAGCTAATATAACTCCTAAATACATAAATGTAAAAAGACCTTCTCTAAGGCATATATTAGTACAACTGGGAAAAGTCAATGACAAAGAAAAAATATTAAAGGCAGCAAGGCAGAAGAAAATAAATAACCTACAAAAGAAGCCCTGTCAGGCTTTTAGCAGACTTATCAGCAGAAACCTTACAGGCTGGGAGAGAGTGGAATGATATATTCAAAATTCTGAACAACAAAGTAGCAGAAGGAGAAATTAATAATACGATCCCATTTACAGTTGCAACAAAAAGAATAAAATACCTAGGAATAAACATACCCAAAGAGGTGAAAGATCTGTACACCGAAAACTATAAAAAATTGCAGAAAGCAATTGAAGAAGACACAAAGAAATGGAAAGATATTCTGTGCTCTTGGATTGGAAGAATTAACATAGTTAAGATGTCTATACTTTCTAAAGCAATCTATAGATTCAATGCAATCCCTATCAAAGTTCCAACAACATTTTTCACAGAAATAGAACAAAGAATCCTAAAATTTATATGGAACAACAAAAGACCCCAAATAGCTAAAAGAATCCTGAGAAAAAAGAACAAAGCTGGAGGTATCACACTCCCTGATTTCAAAATATACTACAAAGCTATAGTAACCAAAACAGCATGATACTGGCACAAAAACAGACACACAGATCAATGGAATAGAATCGAAAGCTGAGAAATAAACCCAAACATCTATGGACAGCTAATCTTTGAAAAAGGATCCAAGAACATACAAAGGAGAAAAGAAAGTCTCTTCAACAAATGGTGTTGGGAAAACTGGATAACCACATGCAAAAAAAATGAAAGTAGATCCTTACCTTACACCATACACAAAAATTAACTCCAAATGGATTAAAGACTTGAATGTAAGACTTGAAACTATGAAACTTCTAGAAGAAAACATAGGCAGTTCGCTCTTCCACGTCGGTCTTAGCAACATATTTTCAAGCACTATGTCTGACTGGGCAAGAGAAACAATAGACAGAATAAACAAATGGGACTACATCAAACTTAAAAGTTTCTGCACAGCAAAGGAACCCATCAACAAAACGAAAAGACAACCTAACAATTGGGAGAAGATATTTGCAAACCAGACATCTGATAAGGGGTTAATCTCAAAAACATATAAAGAACTCATGCATCTCAACAACAAAAAAACTCACAACCCAATTAAAACATGGACAAAAGAACTGAACAGACATTTCTCCAAAGAAGATATACAGATGGCCAACAGGCACATGAAAAGATGTTGAACATCATTAACTATCAGGGAAATGCAAATCAAAACTACAAGATATCACCTCATCCCGTCAGAATGGCTATAATTAACAAGACAGGAAACAGCATGTGTTGGAGAGGATGTGGAGAGAAGGGAACTCATACACTGCTGGTGGGAGTGCAAACTGGTGCAGCCACTATGGAAGGCAGTATGGAGATTCCTGAAAAAATTAAGGACAGAACTACCATATGATCCAGCTATTCCACTGCTGGGTATTTATCCAAAGAACTTGAAAACACCAATGCGTAAAGATACATGCACCCCTGTGTTCATTGCAGCGTTATTCACAATAGCCAAGACTTGGAAGCAACTTAAGTGCCCATCAAGGGACGAATGCATAAAGAAGATGTGGTATATATACACAATGGAATACTACTCAGCCATAAGAAATGATGAAATCCAGCATTTGTGACAACATGGATGGACATTGAGGGTATAATGCAAAGTGAAATAAATCAGAAGGAGAAGGGCAAATACCATATGATATCCCTCATTAAGTAGTAGATAATAACAACAACAAGCAAACACATAGAGACAGAGATTGGATTGGGGGTTACCAGAGGGGAAGTGGGGAGGGAGGAGGGCAAAAGGGACAATTTGGCACATGTGTGTGGTGATGGGTTGTAATTAGTATTTGGGTGGTGAACATGATGTAATCTATGCAGAGCTAGAAGTATAATGATGTACACCTGAAATTTATACAATGTTATAAACCAATGTTATTGCAATAAACAAAAAATTAAAAAAAAATAAATAAAGGTATCATTCTCTTTTAGATCAAAATAAATCTATTTAAAATAATTAGCACTAATAAATAAGTTTAGCAAGGTTGAAGGATACAAGATTAACACACAAAAACAATTAAACACTAGCAAGAATGATCCAAAAATGAAATTTAAAAAACAATTCCTCTTATAAGAACAATAAAATACTAATCAGTGAATTTAACAAAAAAAGTACAAAACTTATACTGTGAAAACTACAAAACAGTGTTGAAAGAAATTAATGAAAATTTAAATAAATGGTAAGACGTCTTATGTTTATTATTTTAAAAAAATAATATTGGGTCAGCCCGGTGGCGCAAGCGGTTAAATGCCCGCACTCCGCTTCGGTGGCCCAGTGTTTGCAAGTTTGGATCCTGGGTGTGCACTGACACACCGCTTGTCAAGCCATGCTGTGGCAGCATCCCATATAAATTAGAGGAAGTTGGGCATGGATGTTAGCTCAGGGCAAATCTTCCTCACACACACAAAAAATTAATTTTGTTGAAATGGTAATACTGTTGAAATTTATCTTCAGATTTAACGCAATTTCCTTTAAAATTTCCACTGTATTCTTTTCAAAAATTAACAGTCTGATCCTAAAATTCACATGGAAATGCAAGGGACACAGCACGGCAAAAATAGTTTGGAGAAAAAGAGAACAAATTTAGAGGATTCACACTTCCTGTTTTTAAAACTTACTACAAAGCTTCATTAATCAAGACAGTGTGGTATTTTCATAAGGATAGAAACATAGATCAACAGAGTAAAAGTGAAAATCCAAAAATGAACCTTCTTGTTTATGGGCAATTGATTTTGGACATGAATGCCAAGAAAATTCAGTGGGGAAAGAATAATCTTTTCAACAAATTTTGCTAGAACAACTGGATAAATATATGCAAATGTGGTGTAAATCTTTCAGATTTGGGATGATATGACATTTTCTTAGATATGATACCAAAAGCATAAACAAGAAAAGAAAAAATAGACAAATAGAACATCATCAAAATTAAAATCTTTTGTGCTTCAGTCTACCATCAAAAAATGAAAAGACAACCCAAACATGGGATAAAAATTTTGTAAATCATATATTTGAGAAGATTATTGTATCTAGAATATATGATGAATTTTTACAACTCAATATTAAAGACAAATGGACAAAGAATATGAATAGATATTTCTCTAAAGAAGACTTAGAAATGGCCAATAAGCACATGAAAAGATGCTCAACATCATTATCCATCAGGGAAATGCAAATGAACACACAATCAGATACTGCCTCATACTTACTAGGATGGCTATAATTAAAAAGACAGATAATAACAAATATTGGCAAGAGTGTGGAGAAATTGCTGGCAGGAATGTAATTAATACAGCCACTTTGGAAAAACATCTGGGAGTTCCTCAAAACATTACACAGAAATTCTATATGACCCAGTAATTCCACTCCTAGGTATACATCGAAGAGAAATGAAAACATAAATTTACACAAAAACTCATAGATGAATGTTTATTGAAACAGTATTCATAACAGTCAAAAGGAGTAAGAAGTCAGTCACAAAGTATCACATACTGTATGATTCCATTTATATAAAATGTCCGAAACAGGCATCTCTACAGAGAAAGAAAGTAGAAGAGCATTTTCCGAAGGCTTGGGAGAATCGGGCATTGGAGCTGAAGGCTGAGAGTTGTGAGGTTTCTTCTTGGGGTACTGAAAATGTTCTAAAATTGATTGTTGTGATGGTTGATGGTTGCTCAACTCCATCAATAACTAAAATCTATTGAATTGTACACTTCAAATGGATGAATTTTATGGTATGTGAATTATATTTCAATAGTTGTTTCTTTAAAAAAATCTGTCCTTTGTAAATATGTCATGTTTCTTGCCATCATCTTATCCTAAGAGTGCTTCTCACCTTCTCTACTACAAATCATTGGGCAGAAGCCAAGTTTGTTATAGTGAATGAGAATAAATAGAGAATAAGTAAATCAAGATTTGACAGCTTTCTGAATGGATAATGTGAATGGATATTCACATTAACTTCCATGGAGCAGAACACAATATTAGCTTTTTTTGAAATCTGCAGCCAGGTCATTCTGTTACCAGTCAAGCTTTTTCTGTCTCTTGGCCTCAGTTTTTTGGTCTGTGAAATAGAATTTAACTACATCTCCATGTTTTCATATCTTAATCACATGTGGTTTTGGCTGTGTGTCTGTTTCCCTTTCTCACTCTAACCATCATATTGTCTTTCTCAAAGAATTAATTATCTGAAGTAAAATTCTTTGTTATATTTTAATAATATCCTTGGTAGTTATGTATTCTGAATTCATCCTGAAATGACACACATGATTCATACGAATTGGAATATAAAAGGATCCCAGCACACTTTTCTATTTTTAAAGTAGAACATGTAGGTCATAGCTAATTTTTTAAGGGATTACTTTTAGATACACCTTTGAAGCATATGAAAACCAGAATTGTTGCATCTGTTATCGATCTGTAGGATACTCACAGGAACTATTTCCTTTTTGCCTGCTTTTCACAACAAGAATAAAATAAAATGGAAAAGTATTTATAAATGGCTATCAAAATTTTAGCTCCAATAAAAATCTTTAACCGATATAACATTGATGTTCCCTTGATTCATCGCCTATGGAGAATTTTCCCTATTAGCAAATTATATTTACCACCTGGAATTCTCTACAGATATAACACCAGAACCAAACTTTTATTTAGCTCTGTTTTATTTCGTTCATTCATTAAAGGTGTTTTAATGAATGGAACTGTTAAATAAATCCTGCCAGTCAGTCACAAGCAAAGACTAATACAAGTTTTGTGCTTATTTGAACATAAAAGATAAAACAGTTACTTCTGTTATAAAAACATTCTGCAAGAATAAAGGACACCAGGGATTCGCATTAAAAGATATTTAAGGACTAGTCACCAAAATAATCACAGTAGTCAAGAAACATAATACCTATGTGGAACTTCTGGTTTCTGTTCTGTTCATAAGCAGTAAGTTTATCCTCATAAGGATCAATTCAACAACAACAATAAATCAATTTCAAAGAGTCAAACTCAAATCCAACTATCTTGAAGGAATTTCTCAGATGTGTTATTGTCCATTTTCTGAAGATCTGTCAGCTTGACTTCCAAAACTTTCAATGTACTGCATAATATGATCACTAGCTACAATGGTATAAAAGCCTTATAATCATCGAGTTACGTGACGCCAATACCGGTTGACCAGGTAATGACAAGGTCCTTAAATAAAGAAAGGAAGGAATATAGAGGATGATTTAAGGCATAATGGGAAACAATTTCTGACCAACACTTGCAACATTCAGCAAATACATTGTAAATATTTTAAGTAAGAATAGAATATAACAGCAGAATGCATTTCTTACTGTAAATTATAGTCAGTAAAAGATAAATGTTCCTTTAATTGAGTATAGACATAAGTTCTAATTTTTGTAAGGAAAACCTAGTGAAACAATAGGAGCAAAAAACAAACAGCATGACTATTTTGTTTATACTGAATTTATCTGGGTTTCTGAATTAGTTCCATGGGCCCATTATATTATATAGAAGTCTCCTGCTGATTGGAAAATGACCAGAGGTGATGCTTTTTGAAACATTGTGAGAATGATTTAGATATTCAGTTATATATGTTTGTTCAGCCAGTATATGTGGAACCATCCCAATCAATAAAATAAACAAATCTGTTTTAAAATTTTATTTGCGTAGTTTTGTACTCAATGATTTAACATGTGCTACTCATAATAATTTATTTTTTATTTAATAAAACCGCTATTTCAACTGAATTTTATGGCAATTTACACTTTTCTGTATTTTTTTTTGATCAACAGAGACTTGAGGGAGTTGATTGTCTTTAACAAAAATGATAAAAGAATAAACAATATTAAAATGTATTTGTGATTTATTTGAGAGACATTGATAGTCAATATATTTTCAAATGTACATGTTATCTATTTTTAAGGCACCTTTTAATTAAAATTTATACATGGACAAAATTATAGAGCCATGTGATAATGCTAAGTGAAGTGCACAACTCCTTACTACTAATAAGAACAATAATATTGAAAATAGTATACCATACTTTTTTCCCCTTTTGTCCTTCATAGCAACACTATATATTTTGGCTTCTGTGAAGGGAAGTACTAGATGAGTTTTCTCCTTTTTCAAAAGCTTTCAGAATAGCTTATTTGTAAGCTGAAAACCAACCACATATAAAAAACCAAAGTGCTACCCTAATGCATGAACATTCATTATATAATTGGCAAATGCTGGCATCAAACAAACCTTCTGGTGACTTATTAAGGAACTCTCCATGTCCACAAATGGAAGCAATACTCATTTAAGTGTGTGGTACCTTTAGGCACTGGCATTAAAAAAGAAATTTGTTACTAGCATCTTAGAGGACAGAAATTGCCAGGATTTGTGGTGTTAGACCTCTGCATTACCAAGAAAGAAGAAGAATATTTGCAAAGAGAAGTTTAGAATTTCTGACAGAAGTCAGAGGCAGGATGATAATGGAGGGCAGTGTAAAAGAATGCAATAAGGTATAAGAGTGATTGAAAACCAGGTAGAGAATTAAAAGACCTGGATTTGGATTTAGCTCTACCCACTTACCCATGCTGAAATCCTTACCAAGTGACTTAATTTTTGCCTTCCTTTCTAGTTTGTAAAATGTGATTAATAATGCTACCCTGCTTACACACTATCACAATATGATAATAGAAAATATTAACTGAACATTTTATTAAGGTATGTTTTCATCACCTAAAAATATGCCAATTAATCTTATAATAATGATTAAAATATTCATGTGATTACTAATTTATTCACTTATTGACTGTCAAGTAGTCAGTTACAAGTATTGATTGAGTGTCTACAATGTGCCAAGTGCTATATTAGGTACTAGAGATACAAAAGTAAAGATGATGAATAAGAAGAGTCTGGATTTTCAGAAAACATAATTTAATGGAGTATACAGATAAATATATAAGCAATCATAGTAGAATATATGTGCTGTGATGAATGAAGTATCAATTGTATTAGAAATATAGAATTGAAGCAACAGAGCCGTTTTGGGGGACTTGCTGAAGGAAGAATCCTCTGTATTAAGCAACAGAGCTGTTCTGGGGGGGGTTCCTGAAGTATGAATCCTCTGTATTTAATCCTGAATAAAGAGTGAATGAAGAAAAATGAAAACAACGTATAAAAAAGACCAGAGAGAGCAGAGAACATAACAAATAATATATAACTTAAATAAATTCTATATGGCTGTAGCTTAGACAATGGAGATGGAAAGAAAAATCAAGTATTTTCAATATTCACGTCAACTTTTTTTTTATTGAGGTAACATTGGTTTATAACATTGTATATATTCCAAGTGTACATCATTACTATATTTCGAATTCTGTATAGACTACATCGTGTTCACCACCAAAAGTCTAGTTTCTATCTGTCAGCGTATAAATATCCCCCTTTATCTCTTTCACTCTCCCTCCACTCCCCTTCCCTTCTGGTAACCACAAATATGTTCTCTCTGTGTTTGTTTGTTGTTGTTATTGTTTTTGTCTTCCACATATAAGTAAAATCATATGGTGTTTATCTTTCTCTTCCTGACTTATTTCACTTAGCATAGTACCCTCAAGGTTCATCCATGTTGTCACAAATGGCAATATTTCAATTTTCAATTACTGATATCATATTAATTCAATGACTCTAATTCCTATGATAAGCAATTGCAAGTTACAATTTTATGCAAATGATATATTTTGAAGAGTTGAATTAGAAGAATCAGGTAGACTATTCAGTAATATAATCAGTTCATCAAAGTGTATTATTTATAAAGCTTGGAAATAATAGATTAGGTAAATGATGAAAGCATTCTTACCAAATGTGCCAAGAGATTATATATATCAAAGTGCCATAAAATTTAATACATAGTGCTGTAATATCTTGCATATTTTAAGAAAATTGACTTTTCATCCCTCTCTGGCAAATCCTCTAGTTCTCTACTCCTTTTTCCAGCAAAACTCTCAAAACATGTTTATAATCACTATCCACTTCTCCCATCTTCTCTGTAACCCACTCCAAACAGCCTTGCCTCATAAACAAAAGTCTTTATTAGTATAAATAAATAATAATTTTTCCAAAAAAAGTTAGTGCATCTTGATGCATCTTAATACAATTAAGTTATTAACATTTCCTGGAATTGAGTGTGTTTGAAATTTAGCCAGAAATGTTGTCTGGAAAGTAAGAATATTACTTCAGTGCGCTTTCTAACCTGAAAAATCTTCATGAAACTGATTGTTTAGACGAAAGATAAATCTGAAGACCACTACTAGAAAAAGGAAAATCAAGAGTATAATGACACTACTTACTTGTTGCTAAAGTGTTTTACAAGCAAAATGTCCTTGCACCTTCATCTCTACTCATAAGATAACTACCCATTGTATACAAAGGGTATTGCATGACAATAACATTTATTAGAGTCTAAATGGATGATTGAAGATGATATGTATCTTTAAAAGGCCTTGCAAACAACAGAACAAGGTTGGTCTCTGCCTAAAGACAGAGGGTATCAACCTAAGTAAAAAACTGCAAATGATGCTGTCAGGTTTATTTTGCTATCTGTAATTGGCAGCATTAGAATTACATTTTTAGATTCAGCTACTGCCTCCAGAACGTACTTGTTAATGCACACAGCTACAGGTTTTTCAGATCGTCAAACTCTCACTAGCAAACAGCAAGACACAGATCAATGCATTTCCTAAGAAATCAAACAATGGATGATTAAATCAGGTATGGAAAGAAGGGTAAAAGTGACATTATTTCACAAAAAATGAGAACAATTGTAGTTAAACCTTGGTCTAGCTGATGTACTGTGTAAAGTTGGCTTATTTCTCATAAATCCTTTCAACTATATGACTCTATGATCACAAAATCAGAAGTGTATACATAAGATCTCATACTCTTCTGAAGTTTATTATCTTTTTTCCCACCATGAACTTAACAGATAAACTAGCTCATTCAGCTAAAATTTATGATTTATGTTCCTGGACTTGGTTAGGCATGGTATTTGTGCAAAATAATACAGCCAGATAGGAAGCTATTTGCTTGAACTTAAAAGTAATTTAGAAGTCATTAGGAATAGTTTTGTGAAAAATAAATGACATATAGCAAGTATACATGCAATCAGTTGTTTGTGGTTTCATTTATTGTTTATGGAATGACAGTTAGCCAAAGCCTGCTCCATAGTTTTGCCATTTAGTATACCACATAGTATAAAAGAATGAAAATAAAATGCAGATGTCTTGTTTATTTTTTAGTGCAAAATCAATGAGTAAACAAAGTTTTCCATACATTGAACTTTTTAAGAACTCACATAAATTAGCCCTGCAGAACATAGGTCAAAAACTAAAAGTGAGAATTGAGAATAGTCGGTCACTTCCAAAGTAAAAAATACTTGGGCATTCTTTCCAGCAACAACTGGTAATTATAATGTTTCTAGTTCTGACTTGTTTTATTTTTTGTTGTTTCTCCTATGTGAATAGAATTATACTGAGGCACCTGTGACTAAGATTTCTAAGTGGCAAAGCTGGTGTGTGTGTGTGTGTGTGTGTGTGTGTGTGAGAGAGAGAGAGAGAGAGAGAGAGAGAGAGAGAGAGATTATATAAGCATCTGTTAAAGCTAATGGTTGAAAAGGCAAATGGACAAAAAAGTCACATAAAGATACAGCTGTTGTCAGTAAGGATATCTACCAGGAATGCATTTTTATCTACAAAGGTTTTAGAACTCTCTTGAAATTTTTCCAGTAACAAATTTCAGTTATTATACCATTAATCAAAAAGAATCATTTGTATTTACTAAATAGAAACGTAAACACTAAGGGAAAAGGTTTTTAGCAAGATATCTTGGAGTGCCTTTAGAATATTTCTATAAACACTTTTTTGTTCTTATTATTGTTATCAAATGACTTGGAAAAGTACATTAAGACCACGATAACTCAATTTACAGATGACTCAATGCTGTAAGGGGTTATTGGACAACACAGAATTATTATGTGCCAGACATTGAGGATATATCTAAGTGACAAAATTTAATAGAGATACAAAAAAAAAAAGTACAAAAATATATATTTGGAGAAATGTGGCTTAAAGGCACATTTTAAAACTGTCCTTTAGCAGAATTGGAGTCAATACAATAACCCAGTTTCCACAAAGCTAATTCCATATTCACTTTTATTGATGAAGTTAGGAAGATGATAACACCCCACATTTTACCTTGAGCAGGTCATACTTATATATTAGGGCATGGACCAAGTCTCATTGGACGTTTATTTCCTGAACATAATAATGTTTAGTACATAAGAGATACCCCATAACTAATAATTAGATTGATTGAAAAAAGCTTTATGTAATATGAGAAAAGATAAAAGGAAACATGGAGACAATTTTGTGAGGGAGGGCAGAGGAATAGGACTATCACTGCATCAAAGACACTGATTTGTATCCCAATATGCGTTCTTCTTTTTTTTGAGGAATACAAACAGCAATTTGATCTGGACAATGCCTTCCAAAATTAAACATGATATTTCTGAGCCTACCTTGCAGACAATTCCAGTCATATGACTAGTTTCCTGAAAACACAATACATCAAATGTTATAAGTATACCTTCTGGAAACTGTCTACAAAGGTAAAGATGTGATCTCTTTTTTTTTTAACAGATAGCTGGAATGCAGAACTGGTGAAGAAAGCTGGAGCAGCCATTTTTAACTCTAAAGTAGAAGCCATACCTTAGAATTGCAATAAAATAATCTAGAAGGAGCCCATATACTAGAAATCATAGAATTTCTATACCAGCCTTGGAAGACCTATCTCTGGATTTTGCTTATATTAGAGAAAAGTTATTTTATCTTATTTGAAGTAATATTAGTTTGGGTTTTCTGTTACTAGCAGCTAAGCCTTATACTGACACAGTTCTCTTCAAGTAATTTTTAGGTAATTATGCAGAAGTTGGATCTTATATTTGCTATGTAGCTATGGGGGTAGAATTTATATCAATTAGTGGAAGCTATATGGAAACATGTTTGATTGACAGTAAGAACTTTCTAAAATTTGGAGTCACCAAAAGAAGAAAGGAACAGATATCTATGCATAGCAATGGCAGTGTAGGTAATATAAAACAACCCTCCTATTGAGTAAAACTAGAAAAGCTGGGCACGATATTACAAAAACCTGCTTAAAACAATGAAAGGCTAAAAATATGGTAAATACCTATAGGACTAAGCTCTGGAAGAAGACAGGAACTCATAGATGGGAATTCAGCATTTATGGTAGCTTTTTCTTTAGAGGCACTTGCTAATTCCAGAAGAAGCATTAATTGGCAAGGAAAATCAGAATAGATTTTAAGAATTTTATGTGGCTAAAGGGGACAAAAAATTGAGTTAGAGACTGTCAAGGAGGGAGCACTCTGGCAAAATTCTCATGCTCTGGAATGGGATCCTAAAGATTTACATCCTAGGAATAAGATGAAACAGTAAATAAACCTGCACTCTCAGTGATGGGAGCACAACATCAAATCATCTCAACCCTATAATTGGATTTAGGTGATTAGAGATTATCAGTGACCAGAGACACATGCCAGAATCAAACACAAGTTTCTCCAGAGGAAAAAAATTCATCCTTGGCCTGAAATTAGTGTTATAATTATTTTTCATATCCAATATCCTAAACTAAATAAAAAATAATCAGGCACACAATGAAACAAGAAAACAAAAACACTAACTAGAAACCAAGGGAAACATCAGATATTAAAAACAGACCCATGGGCACTGCTGCCACTGACAGGAGCACCAGAGTCTTGGATTCAGGCCCTTCTTCCAGGAGTGCTAGTGTCACAGGTGCCACCACCACTGCCAGGCAATGGGGAGAAGACTGGGTCACGTGTGTTACCAAAATTCCTGGGGCTTTTTGTCGTGGGAGTCATGGTGGTTCCTAGAGCCTCCACTTGTGCATGCTGCCTCAGTTCCTGGATCCTCTGTTTGTGGGTGTTACTGTAGTTCCTGGAGCCTCCGGTTGTGGATGCTGCTTCACTTCCTGGAGTCTGTGGTCTCAGAAGATGCTTGCACTGCTCTCCTGTCTCTTCCGCCTCCACAAGATCCTCTCCACCTATTTTCAGATGTGTAAATGTCTGAATCTCTCAGGTGTTCTGGTGTGCTGTGCAGAGGATCCTTTGTTAATCTATGTATGACCTGAGGTTCCAGAAATTGTGGTGGTTCCCAAGACCAGAGGATCCAGGAACTGTGGAGGTGTCCACAATCGAAGACTCCAGGAACTGCAATGGAGTCCACAACCTGAGGCACCAGGAACCACAGCAGCAACTGTGAATGGAGGTTTCAGGAACATAGTGACACCCATGACCCAAATAGCCACCCCTTGTGGCAGTGGCATTGGCAAGAACAATGCCAGCCCACCTAGCAGTGGCAGAAACATT